ACACTTGAAAAGTTCAAAGAATTTAGATTTAAATTCAAGAAACAAACTAGTAAAAATATTAAGGCGTTTTGATCGGATTGAGGTGATGAATACTTAAACACTAAATTTTTAGATCACCTAGAAGAGAATGAGATTCTCTATCAATGGACACCACATGTTAGAAATGGTTTGGTCCATGATGAGTAGATTAATATCCCCATTTCATTTTGCAATAAACACTTCTTACTCGTAACCTTTACCTTGAATATGATTCTAATAAAATCTGTTATTCATAATCCATATGAGATATGGAAAGAAAATAAAGTGAATTTATCTTTTCTTAAGATTTGATGCTATAAAGCATATGTCAAACTTTTGGATGAAGACAAGTTAAAGCTCAAATCAATGAAGTGTAAATTTATGAGATATACAAAAAAAAACAAACGGATATTATTTTTCTACTACTAGAACAAAGTGTTGTTTGTGACTAGGCATGCTATGTTCTTTTTAACGAATTAATGGATGCTAAAAACAATAGAAGGAAATTTTAAACTTAATGAGATTCGAGTAGACTCACAAATTGACACTTAACTAATGAAATCCCAAATAGATAGGCTACAAAGTGTTGTAACTACCCCTTAAATAAATACACAAGAACTTTATAAGTCTAAAATGAGTTCATTAAAAGACAAAAGATATGATCTTCTTATCTCAACATATGGTGATGTGTACCTTAAAGAGGATGATAAGTTAACATTTATAAAATGACAACGTTAGACATCGACTCCTAGAAGTGGCAAATAAACAAGATATGAAGATGACATACCTTGATCGTTCTATCATTAAAAACATATAAATAAGATTTGTGAATTGCAAAGATCCTTTTATGGATTTGAGCATGCCTTTAGGAAAGAGAATCGATGTTTTGGTGAAATAATCAAAGAGTTTGACTTTCATAAAAAACGAAGATAAATCTTATGTATGTAAAAGGTTAATAAGAGCTTACTAGTCTTGGTTATTCTATATGAAAATAAACAAATTACTTTTCAATTATAACATTATCATTCAAGAATTTCTCCATATTTGACATGGAATAGCATCATGTATTTTAAGAGTTGAGATCTATAGAGATAGATCATATAGAAGATGAAAGCTCTCACAAGGTAGATACATTAACATGATATTAAAAGGTTTAGTATGGAAGAATAAAAAAAGAATTTCTTCTAATGTCATATGATTTAATGGTCGCCTACATAGGTTCCTAGCATTATTGATCAAATAGTATTGTATTGTGATAACAATAGAGCCATAGCACAAGCTAAGGAACTAAGGTCTCATCAATGATCTAAACATGTATTACGATGCTACCACATGATTAAAGAGATTATTACTCATGGCAATATAAGGATAGAAAAGGTCCACACCGATGACAACATAGCTAACTCCTTCACTAAGCTTTTGTCACAACCGAAACATAAGACCCTTACTTGATCATCAAGAATAAGAGGCACGACTGGTTGGCTCTAGTATAAATAAGAGATTGATAGTGTAAATGCCCAAGATCCAATCATGTTTAGATGATTTGACTTATTGTAATATTGGATTCTTTAGTTTATTAATAATTTTTTTATTAATTCCTATATTTATTATTTGATAGAATTAAATAGAAGTCCATATGATATGCATTGTATTAATGATTGATCGAAAGATGTGAGACAAACATTAACACACTTAAATGATATCATTAAATGTCTCAAGTCATAGCGTTATCAAGAATAGACATTGACTATATGTAGTAAGACTTGTTAGTGCTATACTCGTACTATAAGATAATAGTAAGAGATCTCATACCTATTGGTATGATGATGCTAAAATAAGAACTTAGGTGATAAATGCTAGAGAACATATCATTAGACTTGACTCGCCATGATAAAATATTTGGTTTAGTCTATGAGAATCTCATATGGGATGGGTACAATTGGTTTTTTGACTTGAAGTCATCATGGTTATCTCATTAGAGGATTTATGTACTTTGACACTCATTTTGATGGACTTCGTAAAGTGTTATATGTAGGTGATTCATTGGGTCCACTAGGAATCTAATGAAGATAAGTGGATGGCTAAGATAGGACAAGTCATTCTTTGGATGCTAAAGGAGTTACCACATTGCACTTCGATAAATGTTTACTCAAGAAATCTATGGCCATAGTAAGAGTATATCAATAGAGCATAGGTGGTTTACTCTATAGCTAATACATTTGAGAATTGAAGAAAACTTGTGTAATCATAATCAAATAGACTAAAAACCAAGTTTAAGATCACACTATGATAAATTGACATGAGGACTAAATTGTATGGTAACCATACTAGTGAAAGGTGATGCGTGCATAATTAGCATGATTTTTATGCTCTATTGCATTGAAATTTTTAGTACTTATTGCATTATATTATATTATTTAAGAATAAGATGACGATTTTGAGTTTTATAGGAAAAATAACGAATCAAAGCAAGAAATCCAAAACCTAAGCAACTTCAAAGAAGTTTAGAAGAGTCATATGGTCATGTGACTTAAAGAAAGAAACCGTATGGATTCTCAAGAAATATAAGCCACATGGGTGGAAGCATTCCACATGGTTAGAGGAAGAAATCCCACATGCTTGTATGGGTAATCAACCTAGCAAAACTCAAGAAAAAAACCACACGTGTAGTAGATATTTCACATGGTTTATAGTATAAAGTCACATATTCATGTCTCTAAGGCAAAGCATATCTATATAGGCGAGAAGAGATTCAACATGGCTTGAAGAAGAAAACTACACAACCAAAGAAGAAACTACACGGGATGAAAAACAAAGCACACGACTCGTGTGTCCTAGTTAGTAAACCGTGTAACACTTATTTTTCAAGGCTCTAAACCATTTACTATCAAGCAACAAACAAGTGCAATTCTATGTATTAAACTATGGGGACTGATACCTATATGATATAACCCTAGTTTTAGGTATAAATAATAATGCTAGGGTATTTTTTTGGGATTCTCATTTTTCTAGCAGACCATCATTCATAAAAAATTCTCTTTATATCAATATGAGTAACTAAACTCTATTTTTGATTGAATCAAGTTAAAAATTTTGGTTAATCACTCGTGAGATTATGAATTTTATTTCTAAAATTATCTTGATTAGGTATTTTATGTTTTTTTTTACATGATTGGTTTATAATTATGTGATTGAATTGATTAGAATGCATATTAATTGTTTGATCATATTAACTTATTACTAGCTAAGTATTCAAGTCCATGTAATTACTTGTCTAAACTTACTTATGGTAGTAACTAAGGGTTGATGATTATGTAGTGTTTTTGTTCAATTCCTTGAAAAATATAAAACTAGGTTATATATTCTTTAGAATTTAGGAAGGTGGCTTAGCTTCATCTATCTTTCTCTAATTAATACTTGCTATTGGATTAAATCTATCTAGTGCTTACTAGGTTAATCAATAACTAAAGAATTAATTAGGTATCGTATATTCGGTTAACGAATAAGAAAAGACTAGGGTCAACATACATATTGTTGTCTTGCGATGAATATTCATATTTAGATAAATTAATTATTTAATTAATGATCCGCGATCAAACTAAAAGTGGATATTGAAGTTCAACCAAGGTTTCTCTTAATATTGTTAGTTCACTTTACTTTATTTGTTTTCAAACACTCTCAACACAAAACACCATTTTTCACACCATAAGAACACTCTACCAAAAGAAACGTTCGATTTAACCTATTTCCCTATGAGTTTGACCCTTACTTGCCCTAGTGACACTATTGTGATTAAAAGCTCTATAAGGACATTATAAATTACTAATTTGCTGGTGGTATGACATACGATCAAAAGGTAATTATAGATTAATTAATCCTCTTAGAGAATTTGGTAGTCATGATGCCTTGCTAAAGGTCAATCTTGATTTATGTATTAAGAGATAAAAGATGTGTCTTTTATTCTTGATATATTATCAACATATCTAGAAGCCTATTAAGTCACATGCATAAGTTTAAGTATTCACATAATAAAAGAGAAGTAAAGATTTTGGGAAAGGTTTATAGTTCGAAAGTTTCTTATTTTGGAAAACGTTTCTAGCATATGTGATGAATGTTTGGAGAACCTATTTGAAGTTCTTTTTTAATGTTTTCTCTCTCTTTTCTATTGATTGATTCATTGATTTTTCTTTTTTTTTTCCTTCTTTTTTCTTTTTTTCACCCTTGTGAGAATTATTTCCTTTATATAGGCAACGATGGAAGCCTTTTCTTTATAGAAAAGGTATGAATGTTTTTTCCTTCTTAAAGCTAGTAGAGAAGCAAACAAATATTAATGATTTACTATCATTATATTTAATTTTATGGCAATGTTAGTATGATCATGATGAGTGGTGATCTAATTAATGTCATCGTTAAAGTTTTTTATTAAATGTTTTATATTCGGTGATAGTAGAGTGCAATGTCTTATTTTCTTGGACCGAGCACCTTAGGGGCAGCCCTCCTCGAAGAGTAGAAGTCAATTGGGAAGTTTCGGGCCCGTTGATGGATTAGCTTTTCTTAGTGAGTCGTGTGCTTAATTAGACCTCATGAGTTTTAGAGTCATGGGCTCATAGGCCTTTCTTGTTGGGTTATGCTAGAAAAAGGCTCTCAATTAGTAATTAAGGACATTTTAGATATAAAAAGGCTGCGAAAGAGGTTTCTATAATATTTTCTTAAATTTCAAGGGAATTTTTTTGTCAAATATTCAAACTTTTGGATGGTCTCTGTAATTTCACAATATCTTATAAGGGTTATTATAATTTACCATATAGTAAAATAAATAATGGTTATTTTTAATATTTAGTTTTAAAATAATAGCTCATCTATTAGTGAAGAGTCTCTTTACCATTCCGTATAAATGTGTTATTCTATTTGTACGAGATATGGTAAAGGGGTGCACTCAATCCTTCTTTGTCCATTAGTTCCTATTTCTTCTCTCCATCACATAGGATAGAGCAACTTGGTAGCTCGCAAGGCTTATAACCTTGAGGTCGTGGGTTCAAATCCCATCTCTAAAATATTTTTTGATTAAAAAAAATCATTCAAATGGTGATCCGGCAATGGGAATAGAAGTCGATAGAGAAACGAGGCGACCAAGATCGACTCACCGCCACATACTACGGGTGTCCCAAAACCTTTCATCTAAAAAACCAGCAATGCTTCATGCACATTCATTGTCGGTTTGAGTCCATCAAAGACTAGCTCTCACACAAATCTCCTCTACCCACTCTGGATGTTGCAATTTCGAGCCAAAGAAAGATTTCCAATTTGGCTTGACCTAGTTTCAAAGGCTTGAAGGAGCGAAGCCTTTAAGGTGTCAATTAATAAGACCGAGAGGGACTCCAAAGGCAAGATTGAGAGATATAAGGCTAAGCTTCTCACCAATGGCTTCAGGGTTCTTAGAGAGGTTCACTCTTACATAATAAGTTTCACTTGTCCAACCGACCTCTCTTCCTAACTTCCGTACTCCTTTCACCTATCAAGGAATAACTATAGTTATGATAGCTTTTGATATTTTAAATTTATTTTTGAATTATAAAATTATAACAATCAATCTTCTTGATTAAAAATCTTTTTAAAAAAATTGTTACTTGCTTAGTCGAGTAACATAAATAATTAATAAATTATTTTATTAATTAAATTATTAAGAAATTTGAATGAAATTTAAAAGTTTTGGTCAATAAATGAGAACTTGAAATTTTGATAGATATTTCAATGAGATATCATATATTTAGTTAATAATTAGTGTTATAAAATATATTCCACGATTTCATAATTCTAACCAAAAAAAATAATTTTCTCTCGATTCCATCCTCTAATAACTTTGTTTTTATGTTCTCAACCAAATTTTGTAGCATATCATTAAAATATTTCTTTACCCAAACATCAAAAGAATGTTTTGGTCGTTAAGCTTAACATATTGTACATTAATATTAAAGAAAATGTGGTAGATATTAAGTATAAGCAAATTAAATAATTTTATTTTCTATATATTCATAAGGAGTAATTAATAGCAAACACGATATAAAACAAATCTTAAATTTTTAGTATAATAAGAAAAATCATGAATATGGTTAAAGTGACATATATATATATATATATATATATATATATATATATATATATATATATATATATATATATATATATATATATATATAACCTCGTGTACAAAAATCTCATTAAATTGTGTATAGGGATGGCAATGGGCCGGGCGGGGCGGGGATAGCCATCCCTATCCCCGCCTCGCCCCCTTAAAAATTCCCCATCCCCACCTCGTGCCCCGAACGGGGCAGAATTTGCCATCCCATCCCCGCCCCAAACGGGGACGAGGATCCCCGCGAGGCAAATGGGATCCCGTTTTATCGTTTGTGTCCACCCCGTCCCATTTAGTCTCGTTTTGACAGATTTTATAATGAGTACACACAATTTGCATAATTTTGTTTCCCAAGCAAGAGATCAAATCACTTAAACTCAAAGAAAAACAATAAAAAAACATGTTCCAAGACATACTTAATTATCGCATATTACAATACAATTCATAATATATTAAATTATTTTCAACCAAATAAATAACATACTTAATTAAATTGATAAAATATCACAAATACAATTAAAGAAACAAATCTTTGCATGTTACTACTCAAAGATCATCAAGACTCACTCATTACATTGGAGTTCAACATAATCGTCAATTACTGCAGATCCTACATTCATTAAAATTAAAAGTGAATTAGTCATTATAAAATTTTTAATGTTGTCATTTAAACTTTGACATATTATTTTATACCTTCATCTTCTTCTAGATACTCCTCATACATAGTACAATAACCATCCGAAAAAAATAAAGTTCCACCTAGAAACAAATATAATAAACATAAATAAGATATATAAAATTTTTAAGAAATTAATAAAAAATCAAATTCATATGTAGAGTTTTAGTGCATTACTTTTATTTTCAGCTATCCATAACCAATTTTGAGCACACATTAATGCTTCCACCGTCTTTGGATGAAGTCTACTTCGATGTGGACTTACTAGCCCGCCACCAAGCACTAAAAGTCGATTCTAAAGCAACAATTGACACGGGGATTGCTAACACATCCTTAGCAATTGCCATCAAAGTAGGGTACTTCACTCCATTTACTTTCCACCATACTAGATTATCAAAATCTTTGGTTCTTGGAATAACACCATCATCTAAGTAGTAGTCTAGCTCTGTCTTGACAAAAGTAACCTAGGCCTTTTTTCTTGAAATATACAAGTCAAACTCGGATTCCATATCATCATAAACTCGTTGAAGAATTAGCCATAACAGAGCTACCACATCCTACATTCACATTCCTATTTTCTTGGTACTCGACCAACAAACCATAACAAAGTTTCCTTATATTCTCAATCCGAACCATAGCCTCACTTCCATAAAACTTTTTCAAAATAAAACTCCAATGAATCCATTTTGTACCGAGGATCTAAAACTGCAGACTACTCCTATTATTTCATGAATCACACTCCAATATTTATTGAACTTGACCAACATACTTTCCGTCATTTCACTAACCATATGATTTGGACAAGTGAGCCATTGAGTCAATGCAACCTTAATTTCATAAATTTTAGTGAAAAACATATTTGACGTAAAGTATCGAGTTCCCGAAAACAATTCAATAACACTATAAAAGATCTTTAATCTCCCACACATTTCTTTTACGAATTCCCAATCACTATCAATAGGTGCAACCTTATAATAAAGTTTGCGACGCTTCAACCTAGAGAAACAATCCTTATATAATAAAGCAATTTCAAGCATCAAATAAGTAGAATTCCATCTCGTTAGACAATCTAAGACCAATTTCTTCATGATAGGAATGAGAAGAAAGTTAGCAGTTTCCTCAAACTTTTCAACTCTTTTAGGAGTTCGTTGTCCAAAATGCTACACTATCTCTAATTCGTTCAACCCCATTCTTAATGACATCTAACCCATCTTTCACTATTAAGTTAATGATATGAGCACAACACCGCATATGCAATAAAGAACCAAAATTCAATAAATCTTTAGATTGTAATTTGTCGCTCACATACTCAACCATCGAATCATTGGTGGAACAATTATCTAATGTAATAGTGGATAATTTTCCTTCAACATTCCAATCCATCAAACAATCAACCAAACTAGTTACAAGGACAATGCTTGTATATGGACAAGGAACATAAATAAACCTAAAGTAAGATATAAATTAGTTATAAACTAGAAGCATTAAACTAAAACAATTAAACAAACATCATTAAGTTAAGAAGAAATGAAGAGTACCTCAATAGGTAGCTTCATAATGTCTAAGAACTATCAATGTAATGAGTCGTAACGACCATGAACCTTTTTTTTTGGTTGCTCGCTGTCCCTAATTAGTAGTGATGGCAACTCTACTTTCAAGTTTTTCGAAAAGTCTCTTCATTTTGGCTCTCTCATTGTCATATATCTTGAAGGCATCATTTTTCACTGTATTTCTACTTGGACACTCGGAATAATGGTTGAAGAGTACTTGTAAACTTTCCGAAGCCGATATGATCAACCATAGAGAGTGGGTATTCATGCAATATAATCATAGAAACAAGTCATTTCTTTCCATCTCTTGATCAAAAGTAAAAGACATTACATCACTCACTAAGTTAGAAGTCAAAACCTTCGTCTTATGTCCGTAATTCTTCTTCTTGGACATTTCTTAAAATGATCATGCAAATGTTTAGTACCATTCCTTGACTTTCCTCTAAGTTGCTTCGTGCAATAATTGCATTCTGCTTTTTCTTCACCATTTACGGTTTTCTTTGTGAAATGGTTCCACACAGTACTAAATTGCTTTTTATTAGGGAGATCGAAATCGTTTTCAAGTTCACCCGTAATAAGTTATGGAGATGAAATTGATTCGGTAACTAGATTCGATGGAGTGGAATCTAAATGTATTGGTGTAGAGTTTGTAGAGTGATGAGAGCTACCTCCATCTACATGGCTTGTCATTTTCCGAAAATATATAATAGTTTAAATTCCAGATTGTCAAATAAAAAAAATATTTGGACACTTGGATCTTAATATCTTATACGGTTATACTTAAAAGAGAATGACATGAGCAATATATAGTTGGATCTTAATAGTTAGCCAAACACTCATATGTAAATAGTTTCATAATTACGTAACTAAATGCAAGAACAACTAAATAATCAATTTAATTAAACATATTCAATAACATGATCCATTAATTCTCAAGACGAAATTTAGCTCATAATTAAAAGATGAACGTCTACTAATTTAATCGAAATAAATTCCATGTTTTCACAATCAAGAATTGAAAGCAATAAAATCGGAGAATTAGAAGTAATGCGAGTTATCTCTCGCTTCAACCGAGGTTTCGGCTTAAACACGAATCCTTGCCCGGTCTCTATCATTCGTCTTCGATGGCTAAAAACAATCTTCGTCTGCTGGAAAATCTTCGGGTTTTCCTTTTTTTAGAGTTTCTTGATAGAGAGAAGGTCACGCCCGTGTGAAACAAGCACTCGCAAAAGGTCACGCCCATGTGAGCCAAGTCACCGTAGTGACTTAAGGAAGGTCACGCCCGTGACTAGTTAGTCATGGCCGTGTGGCGAAAGGTCACGCCCGTGACTAATTGGTCATGGCCGTGAGCTTTTCTTTTCCTCGAAGTCATGGCCGTGACGTGCTATGAGCCGATAGGAAACTATGCCGGTACTCGCGTGCCAACACGCAACTGCGGACCCTCACTTGGAGTATATATATATATGTGTGTGTGTGTGTGTGTGTGTGTGTGTGTGTAAGAAAAAATGAAATATAGCATAATTTGAATGTATACATATATAAACCGAGGTCTCATGCGGTCATGCCTTTTTGTATCAGCTGTTGTATCGACTGCAAGCATCCAAAAACCGAGAGAGAAATAATTCATTGTGCATGGTCATATTTTCATTTGGTCCTAAGAATGTAAACTACATCCACATCATTAATATAGGCCTCCAAACCAAGTCGAATGCATGAGTCATTTAAGGGCCGATCTGGATAAATTAGTTACGGTACAAGTAAATGGATCTCCTATCATTCCGTCAACTAGAACTCTAGAAGTCATAGAAAACCTCTACTTAAATGCGGAATCCGACCATCTAGGAAGTATGGACTTGCGAGTGAATTATAAGGACGAGTAAAATAATGATATTCTTTGCTAAAAATTATCATATTTCGACTTTTCCACATATAAAATCAAGTTCGGAAAACTCGGTAGAAAGAAATCACGAGTTTGATTGAACAATTGAACTAACGACCTCAATAAGTAACAATGAACAATTATCAATCCACATGCTAGAGAATAATAGAAACTATAGTTAATTAGATCAGTTTTGGAAAAACTCAACATTCTTTTTTCATGCTTAGCTGAAATCCTTTCAAAAATTTCCCATACCACATCAAGTTTCAATACTAAATAAAAGCATAAATGAAGATTTAAGAATTATTCTATTTATGTCCCTTTCCTAAATTTAACCACCATGAATCAAGAAAATTGTTATCAAGAAAATAAATAAAAACCCAACACTCATTTCATACTTTCATGCTAATGCAAATGCAGCTAGTTCCATATAACTCTCTATCCATCCAATATCCATGCTTTGAGGGGGAAAAGAAAAACAATTAAGAAGCTATTAGCGGATTAGCCTATAACTTACTATAAATTACCTAGTGGGTTGGCGAAATGGTGGTCGCTTGGTCGGTGAAAGATGGAATGTACCTTCGGACTTCAATGTTTGGACGATTGGACAAGCTCGGACTCCCGTGAAGTGGTGACTGGTGATGACCGGAGATTTAGAAAGTGGAGATGTAAGTCCGAAGAATCAAGACTCGAACTCCGAAACGGGGTTGAGATTGAGAATCCGAGATAGGTATGGTTTTCGCGGCAGCCATTAGCGAACCCTAAGTAATTTACTAACTTACTATAACTCACCGTTGACCGGCAAAATGGGGTGGGCGGGCAAATCCCATCCCCGCCCCATTCCCGTCCAAAAAAATTATGGGGCGGGGCACCCCTCCCGTTCCCCGGTCAATGCGGGGAATCCCCGCATTGACCGAGGCGGGTGGGGCGGGACGACCTCGGGTCGGTCATTTTGCTATTCCTAATCGTGTACTTATCAAAAATCGCACTAACCTATTCATTTATCAAAATCTTATGAGATTTCACCCTTTTATTAAACTCCATTAAAAATCTTAATTAAATTTTAGATTTGGACTTAACGTACGTATGGACGCATGTTACGCTTCTCGTGTTTTCTTGAAAGTCACTTAATGTAATGCTTAACGTTTTCTTTATGATGTATAGAAAAAAGTGGATGATTAATTGATGCAAATTAATGAGAAAAAAATAAATATATTTAGAGAAGTTATTGTTTTATTTAGAATAATTGACATGTGGTAGAAGTTTCAATTAAAATTTTTTATGCATTATCTTAATTATCGATATAGAAAAGTTGTGATTTTTTTTATTAACTAAAAAGAAACATCTAAACTACCGATATTATTTTGAAATATGAAAAGAATTCTATTTTTTTTTCTAGAAAAATAGATTAGAGCGTTAGAATTATTTTTTGATAGATAAATTTTCATCATTTAATTAAGTTCAAAATATAAAATTAATCCCTTGAGATATCAAAATCATGTTAGATTTCATCCCCGTGTCTAATTTTGTTAAACATTTTTTGAGTAATCACCTAGTTTGTCTTTATACAATAGAATCAATATCTAATCTATTTTTATATTTTGAAATGAATTAATAATGTCTTTGTATTTTAAGGGATTTTTCAATTTATTCTTTTGTTAAAAAATTTTGTTCCAAATTTTAGTAAAACTAAGAAATTAATTAATGTTTGGGTCCATTAACAAAAATTTATATTTTCACTTTTGAGTCAAATTAAAATAAGTAAATTATAATAAAATCGTTTGAGAAATAATGTCATTTAAAAGTTTAACTAAAATTATCTTCAATTTTTTTTTAAAAAAAACTATAAATATTTCATTTTGTATTCAAACTTTGTTTACTATCATAGAGACATATTTTTAAAAAGTACTTTAAATATTTCATTTTATATTCAAAATTTGCATACTATCATATAAATAAATTTAAGCCTATAAAGAATATTTTGAATAAAAGATACATTTATCTTCGCCTTTTTTTCTATTTGTTTTTTAAATTTTTAAAGAGAATGATTGGATATATCTTCATATTTTTCTTTTTTAAAAAATTTATTTATTTAAATATGAATAAAAAACAAGATTAAGATGAAGAAAAAAGAGTAAACAGATGAGATTAAGACAAAAAAAACAAACATATTAATGCCATTAGTTCAAAAATTAATAGAGAGACCAAATTAAAAAAAAAAATGACACGATAAAAAAAAAAGTATAGAGAGACCTCTACAACCACTAACCTAACCTGTGCAATATATATATATATTAAAAAAATTACAAATAGAGGGACAAATTATGATATTAAACCTATAATTAAAATACAACCTTTTTTTTTTTCAAGATTAATGAAAATTAGCTTGACTATGGGAGAATGGACTCAAACCAAATGATAATCCAATTACTCAAATTGAAACTATATGAGTGTTTTTGTTAGGAAAAAAAATTGATACTATAGGACCTCTAGTGTTATTAAACCCATATTAGACAACCCTAATTTATCAAAGTTTAGGCTATGAACTAACACTATCTCATGCAGTTTTATTTATTCGATGATAAGAACATTTTTTAATCAATTTGCACAGTAATGAAGAGGAATCGCTTTTCGGACAATTTTAAGATCTCATCTCATATCAGTTTGCTGCTTTTAGAAAATAAATAAATAAATAAATTTTTGTAGATACGAATGCCAAAATTTAAACCTAAAAAAAATAATAATAATCAAGAAATAGACTAAATCTCTTTAATTAATAGACCAATCCTCAAAAGTTAAGTGTTTGTTTAAGCTGGTAACCTTCCTCCTGTGGGGTTCTTGTAAAAACCGAAGTATGATATTCGAAAAACAAATGAAAATTTTAAGGAGTTTGTGGTTGATAACATAAGGATAGATAAATATACATTATTAGCAGTTTTTTAATTTAAGATTGTTTTGTAAAATATTTTTCTATAAAATGTTTTATATAAATATATTTTTCGATAAGCAATAACATAAAAAATTTAATAGTAAAGGAACGTTAGTGGAATTATGGCGTTGGGGTTCCGGGCGGTGGAAGTGCACCCAAAACCAAGTGCCACTGCTAATTTTGGTGGTTTTGTGAAAGTTCCGTTTTCGACCCTTGATGCAGATTTTACCTCCTATATATATATATATTGTGTAATAATTTACAATTACAAGGTATATTTGTTTTAATATATTTTTTATATCAATTCTCCAAAAAAAAAAAAAAAATACAGTTACAAACGCGACCGTGACTAGTAGGCAATGCAAAAAGGTAGAGCCAATCATACTCTTTTGTTGGCCGTCCAAAAACAGAGAGTCCACTCTAACCTTCCTTTCAACATTCAATTTGACACAAACACAAACGCACGGCTCTTCAAGGTCACCTAAAACGACACCGTTCGCCAACAACTCTATCCCCAAAACAACATGTCTTTTTCTTCCAAACGAAGACCAGAGTAATTCCATTCTTTCTCAGACTATAAGTTTCCTTGTACTCTCAAGCAATCCTCTCAAAATGCTTACCGTCTAAATCAGAATCTCTACTTTCCTTCACTTTCCGTTTGTTTCTCGAGCAAATTAAATATAATTTTCTCGCAATCCTTCTTAATTATTATCATCCACCATGGCAACAACCTCAAATAAACCTCAAAGATCTCTCCAAGAAATCGAGGACATAATCCTCCGCAAAATCCTCTTAATCTCTCTCACCGATTCCTCTGATCCTCGAATTGTCTACTTAGAAATGACTGCAGCTGAGATTCTCAGTGAAGGCAGAGACTTGAAACTCAATCGCGACTTAATCGAACGCGTCTTGATCGATCGATTGTCTGTTCAAAACCCTAACACAGAACCTCCTTTCAGCTACCTCTTAGGTTGTTACCGTCGCGCGGTTGATGAATTGAAGAAAATCGCGAATATGAAGGACAAAAATGTTAAATCAGAGCTGGAATTGTCGATCCTGCAAGTGAAGAAATTGTCTGTTTCATATTGTAGGATTCATTTAGGGAATCCTGAGTTGTTTGGGGGTGATTCGACTGTTGTTAAGAGGAGTGGGAATTCGAATGTTTCGCCGGTTTTGCCGTTGATTTTTGCTATGGTTGATGAGTTTAATAGTGGTGGAATTCAGCCTTCGCCGCCGGGGTTTTTGGAGGAGTTGTTTAGAGAAGGGGATTTTGATAGTTTGGATCCAATTCTGAGGGGTTTATACGAGGACTTGAGAGGGAATGTCTTAAAGGTTTCTGTTTTAGGGAATTTTCAACAACCATTAAGGGCTTTATTGTTTTTGGTTAGTTTTAATGTTGGTGCTAAATCACTTGTTAGTCATAAGTGGTGGATTCCGACAGGGGCTTATGTAAATGGGAGAGTTATTGAAATGACAAGTATTTTGGGTCCTTTTTTTCATGTCAGTGCATTGCCTGATAATACTATTTTTAAGAGCGAGCCGGATGTTGGGTGAGTATGTGTGAATTCTTTTGGTTTTTGTTTTTCTTGTTGTGTTTGTGTTATTGATGTGTTGTTTGTTTGCTTGTTTAAAAATGCCAGGCAGCAATGTTTCTCTGATGCAACAAATCGTCGACAAGCTGATTTGTTATCTTCATTTACTACAATTAAGACTCTTATGAATAATTTATATGATGGTTTATCAGAAGTGCTTCTTGTTCTACTTAAAAATAGTGATACTCGGGAGAGTGTTCTTCAGTATCTTGCTGAGGTGATCAATAGAAATGCAACAAGAGCTCATATACAAGTAGGTTTCTCCTGTTCATGGAACTTTTTGAGCTGTAGTTATAGTGTATATGATTTGTAAAAAGCTTTATCTTGATTAATGACGTTGCATATGAATCAACATGTGGGTTTTTTTTTTTTTTTTTGTTCGATTTCTTCAGAAAAGGCAAAAGTTGACATCTGTTTTATTAAACTGGAATTTACATGATAGTTTTCTCTGGGTGACAATGATTTTCAGGTTACATGATTTATTTCTGTAGATTTACATGGTACTGTGTAACTGTCACAGGTTGATCCTTTATCTTGTGCAAGTTCGGGCATGTTTGTCAATCTAAGTGCTGTCATGCTTCGGCTCTCTCAGCCATTGTTAGAGCCAAGTTTTACCAAGAGGGACAAAATTGATTCAAATTATGTGTTTCACAATGATCGTTTGGATCTAAGGTGATGAAATGCTTAATATATCTTTTTTTAAATCACATTATTGATTGTCCTGGTCTCCCTAATTATTGACTTTCTTTGTACATTAGAGGTTTGACAGCTCTACATGCATCATCAGAAGAAATTACTCAATGGCTTAATACTCCTGGAAAAATTGATGTCTCGGCACAGTCTAGTGATGTTGAAAATCGCTTGTTACAATCTCAAGAAGCAACCAGTTCTGGTAGCAGTGGTGAAAAGGCTAAATACTCATTTATTTGTGAGTGCTTCTTTATGACTGCAAGGGTGCTCAACTTGGGTCTGTTAAAAGCATATTCTGACTTCAAGCATCTAGTTCAGGTAATGCACACATGCTTTTTTATCTGGATTGGATTTATAAATTGTTACCGCATCTTTGATTGACAAATGAAAATATTTATCTGTCTTTGAAGATGATTTTATGAATAAACATCATGTCAGGACATTTCTAGATGCGAAGATACACTCTCCACATTTAAAGACTTGCAAGAGCAGACACCGTCTCAGCAGTTGCAGCAGGATATTGATCGTCTTGAGAAAGAAATAGAGTTATATTCACAGGAAAAGCTTTGTTATGAAGCTCAGATATTAAGGGTACTGACCTTTTCTCTCTCTGCGCCAACCCACTGCTGGCATCTTGGAAGCTAGTCTTGAACATTGGGAGTTTGTGTTTGGTTTGGTTCTCTTGTGAGGTGATAGGGGTTTGTGAGCTAAAGCTTTAATCATGCAGTTTTGGAAGATGATTCTGTTAATGTCACAGTTGGGTGGCTCCCTTGTTTTATTTTCTTTGGTGGCCATCTCTTTGCCCAAACTAGCACTTCCCCCCAATTCTCTCTTGCCCTCCATCCCTCTCCCTGTTCTCTCTTGTTATCCGTTCGAATAGTATGTTCATTTGTTGAAGATTTAGAACTTCATCATATTAATGTGGAAAATTCCCTTTCCTCCATCCCCACCCTGTGCTCCTCTCTATTCTATTTTTAAATGGCGTGCTCAACCTTTGAAGATGTAGAACCTACCAATTTAAATTTAATGTGTAAATTTAAATAGCTTGGTATTCTGTTTACTGATCTTGGTTTTGGTTCTTTTTTAAAGGATGGAGCACTTATTCAGCATGCCCTTTCTTTCTACCGATTGATGTTGATTTGGTTGGTTAGCCTGGTCGGTGGATTTAAAATGCCTCTGCCATCAACTTGCCCAAAGGAATTTGCCTCGATGCCAGAGCATTTTGTGGAAGATGCCATGGAATTACTTATATTTGCTTCTCGGATTCCAAAAGCTTTGGATGGAGTCTTACTGGTAGCCTTGGCAATAAAATGTTTTACCATGCATTCCTGCCCTTCACATGATACATGAATTTTGTTTTCTTTTGCATGGACTGATCTATGAAATTCAATTACCTAGTTGACGTGGTCTTTTTCGCTATTGTTCTTGCTGGCAGGATGATTTTATGAACTTCATTATCATATTCATGGCAAGTCCAACATATATTAGAAACCCTTATTTAAGAGCAAAGATGGTTGAAGTATTGAATTGCTGGATGCCACGGAGAAGGTGATGTATTGCTTTCCACTTTGCAAGGATAGAATATTGTGGAAATTTTGATTGAAATTTATAACTTAAGTATTTACAGCATTTGGTTTTTTCATTTGCAGTGGTTCATCTGCTACAGCTTCTCTATTCGAAGGGCACCAATTGTCACTTGAGTATCTTGTGAGGAACCTCTTGAAGCTTTATGTTGACATTGAGTTCACAGGCTCTCACACACAGGTGACTTGCCCTAACATTTGAGTTTCTAAGAGTTGATTGTTTCAGGTGCTAGAGTATATACAGTAGGGACTAACGAAAACTCATTTTAGGCCATTGCCTTTATAGATGGCTAGCAGAAAGACCCTGCAACCAACACTTGTTTTATTTAAATGTATTTTTGAGAACTGAGCTTGAGAGTTCCAGAAGTAAGGGCTTTTTGGCTGATATTGGCAGGGACTGGATGCTATCTTGCATTATCATATATCTTCAGCTTTAAACAGAAGGATATATATATATATATATTTTATTTCACTAATCTGCTGATTAGTAATTTTGGAATCATTTGCTCACTCCTTGTTTTGAGATGTCAGGATACCTCCTCTTGTGCAATTTAAGCAATAGTTCTTTTGAGTTATCTTCCGATTTCTGTAGCTTTGTTGACCATTATCAGTGTCTCTGCTCTTTGGATTTTGATGCTTAAACATCTGATCTTATCTCCGCATCCTTTGATCAATATGATTTTCTTCTGGGATAATTATTTCAAGTCCAATTGACTAGATCACTCTTTATAAAAAGATTTGATGGATTGAGTATCTTGATTACTCTATTAAATTACGTTCGTGGTAGATGAAAAACAAGAAGTCAAAAGGATATAAAAATGGGAAGATGATGGTCTTTGTAGAATTTTGATTGCTTTTTAAATTAATTAACTGAGATGTTTCGGTTTCATCCCTTGACGGTTGAATAAGAGTCAAGGAGTGTCTAGTTTGATGATTGATTTGTCCAAGATAAATGGTGAAAGAAACCTTGCTGTTTTGTTGTGTTTTTTTTCCCTCTTCTATTAAATTTTAGCAACCGTAGGTGCCCAGAGCTGCGCCTGGTCATTGTAATATAAGTCAACTTGTGATATTCTTTGGGTGCATTGTAGGTTGGGTATGCACATGCAGAGTAGGGATTTTTCTTTGTCTTCCTTTTCCATGCCCGCTGATTTGGTAAATTGAACATTTCAAAGAATTTGTTCAACAATCCACATTCTGCAAGTTGTTGTGTTGAGATTATTTTTTCCCCCTAGTTCGTAACTTTTTCTTTTAAGTCCATTTATTGTTAACTTATTTTCTAAATTGTTGCAACTAATTGTTTGCTGTGTCTTGAACGTTGAATGCTAGCATTCTTACATTTATTACATGCTAAATCTTGATTTTCTCTCATCTGGTACAGTTCTATGACAAATTCAACATACGGCATAATATTGCTGAACTTCTTGAATACCTATGGCAGGTCCCTAGTCATCGTAATATTTGGAGAAAGGTAGACCAATTGAGTACTATACCTCTTTTTAGTGGATTAAACACCTCTCTCCCTCTCTCTCTCTCTCTCTCTCTCTCTCTCTCTCTCTCTCTCTCTCTCTCTCTCATACACGCACATACACATGCATGCATGCACACACACAAAATTTGACTGTTTTATGCTGCTCCAGATTGCTAAGGAAGAAGAAAAGGGTGTCTATCTGAACTTCTTGAACTTCCTGATCAACGACAGCATCTATCTTCTTGATGAAAGTCTGAACAAAATTCTTGAACTCAAAGGGTTAGAAGCTGAGATGTCCAACACCACAGAATGGGAGCGAAGACCAGCTCAAGAGAGGCAGGAGAGAACCCGCCTTTTCCATTCCCAAGAGAATGTCAGTTTGTATTCTCATGCTTATGTGTATGTCATCGTACTACCATGAAGTCAAAATGCTTATTTGGATAGATATATTTTGGCCGTTTCAGATAATCCGCATTGATATGAAGTTGGCAAATGAAGATGTGAGCATGCTGACATTTACATCAGAACAGATTACAGCACCTTTCCTTCTTCCTGAGATGGTAGGATATATTTATGCTTTTGACCTTCCATATCTATGCTGTAACCGCTTACAAGTAGGATAGCTGAATTAATCATTCGCTTCTGAGTTTTTCCTTGTTAAAATTCTTCTTGAATGCCTTTCAAATAAATATTTATTTCTGCCAGGTTGACAGAGTGGCCAGCATGCTCAATTATTTCTTGTTACAACTCGTGGGTCCCCAAAGGAAATCCCTCACCCTAAAAGACCCTGAAAAGTATGAATTCCGCCCAAAACAGTTGCTTAAGCAGGTTAGTTTGATTATCCAATTTATCACTGTAGAGCTCTCTCTTGCTACTGCTGTCATTCTTCTCCTTTTCTACTCTTTTCCCTTTTGTTTTGTCCAAAATGGTTACTTTAACAGGTTACATGATGTTCAGGTTTGCACTTTTGAACTCCTGATTGTTATTCCCTTATTTTAACCCCTTTTCTCCTTGTTTTTGTCCAAAACAATATCTTAAGTTGGTTAGCATGACATTCAAAATTGTGACTCCTGAATCCTCTTTTATATCTTATTAATTTTTCTTCTATTGCTTCTTTCCCTTTAGTTTTACATCTAGGCTTAGAGGACTTTGCTTATACAGAAGTCTTAGATTGCAACCACAGGGTGTAGGTTCAAGTCTTTAGAGTAGCAACTTCATGCAAAAGAAAGTTGAGGGGTATGAATTCCCCTGAGTACACTACTTCAAGGTCATTAGTCAATTGTGCCAAAGTTTAGGTTTGAGACAATCAGGAAGGCAACTGTGCAGTTTTACCTTGTTGGTTGACTAAGAACATGATTATATATGCAGGTTAAGCACCAATTTGACTATACCTTAAATGCTTGTCATGTTGTGAATTCAAGCTTGTCAAGGTGTTTGATTTATTTGACTAAGGCTGTGACTTGAAACGCTAGGACTCTGAACCTTAGATTGAATAACTTTTAGATGCAATGCAGAGGTGTCCTGCTATATTTTATATGTGGCTTCACTGTGAATTTTATCCAGCTCATTGATGAGTAAAACAATTGTGATTACCAATTCTTTAATATGTCATGGTGCTGTGGACTTGCATGAGTGAATCCCTGCATCTATTTATTCTGCATCTACAGAGAATGAAATGTGAAATCATCTTACTAAACTAACATGGGGAACAAGTACCTTCGTTCTTGTTTTTGATAGCATTGTTTACTGTCAGACTAAATCCTCTGTCGGATATTGTATGTTAACAAGTCATTGAGCCTTTAGGATAAACCTAACTCTCTTTTATTGATTCATTGAAGATTGTCCATATGTATGTTCATCTGGTGAGGGGTGATACTGAAAACATCTTCCCAGCTGCCATATCGAAGGATGGTCGGTCATACAATGAACAGGTAACTTAAATGTTACAAAGCTTCAATAAGCATTTCATTTATGATTAGAATCAAATGTTCATGAGAATGTCCTTGGTTTCGTTCTGTTCTGAAATGTAGCAGTTGATTGAATACATTGTGACACTGTTTTTCTGCTCTAGTTATTTACTGCTGCTGCTGATGTCCTTCGGAGAATTGGTGAAGATGGGAGGATCATCCAGGAATTTATTGAGCTTGGTAGAAAAGCAAAGGTTGCAGCTTCTGAGGCAATGGATGCTGAAGCTGCCCTTGGAGAGGTACCAGAGGAGTTCCTTGATCCAATTCAGGTAAGTTTGTTATAATGTTTTGGAAAGGGCAATATCTTTAGTGTCCATATATTGAACGTGGAAATTATTCAAATTGCTCTTTTTTTTTTTTTGGCAGTACACTTTGATGAAGGATCCAGTTATCTTACCTTCTTCAAGAATGACAGTTGATAGGCCTGTCATTCAAAGGCATCTTCTGAGTGACAGTGTACATCTTTCACTTGTTCATACATTCTAGCGAATTTTGTGACAAAGACACTACTTTTGATTAAATTTGCTAATTGATTTCGTGTGAGTGCAGACGGACCCCTTCAACCGATCCCATCTTACTGCAGACATGCTGATTTCAAACACTGAGTTGAAGGCAAGAATAGAGGAGTTTGTCAGGTCCCAAGAATTAAAGAGGCACGGGGAAGACTTCAGCTTGCAGAGAGCCAAAGAAACAATCCAAACCACAACTGAAGAAATGTTGATTGATTAGAACATTGCTGTAGATTCTTGAATTAGGAATGATGAACTGGGGTTGGTTCATATTTCACACAACAATGAAAGAATTTCCAGTAATCAATGATATTGGCAGTGGACGGTGAAAACAAAGGGTTATAGGCAGCACAAACAATATTTTTCAGCCGGTGTTAAATGTTTTCTTGGATGTGTTTAACTTACTCTGTTTTCTAAAAGTATATAATTCATTCAACAATGGCGTCTATTTTTTTCCTTCCCTAAAAATATTATTTTTGTGAAGGTGTTGGTACGCATTGGTGTTATCAGGTTGTGCTCTGCCAATAATCCCCTATAAATCCGGTGAGTATAAAATGTCTTCCTACCAGAACAGAATTCCCCAATAAAATTTTTTGAGCCACTTCTGGCGGTTGCAAATACGACCAATTCAGGTAGGAACCAGAGTTCTTAGAGCAACAAGGAAATGCCTGTTGCTACTTGTATTGTTGATAAGTACTGTGCATGCCTTGCATTTGGGAAGATGTGAATCACGATTTCGTCTCAAAATAACGGGCACTGCAATACACAACACAGCCATGTTGGTTATAAATCTTACAAATTATGTGCAACACAGGCCCAGGGACTAGGCTTTGCGGCTGGGTAGAGAATACATGAAATGTATTGAGAAAAGGGAGAGTCCTTTGAGAGCACTGTAAGGCAGCATACATATTTTTGTTTCACTGCAGAATATGTTGTACTTCGGATGGCTGAAGAATATATAGTTGATTAGCCAAATCTACTAATTCTGATCATGACCTTCGAATTGCACAGGCAATGCTGATATTTACTCAAGCAACTTCCTAGCATTGCATTAACTATTGCAGACATTATTGTTAGGTTCATTTGACATGATTGCAGGCCAAAGAAGGCGAATCATCTCTCCAGTTGGGAATTTTGCAGTACCTCCAGGCAGATTCTGCCAACTACCTAAGTGCGAAAGGGTTTCTTCTTTTTTTTTTTTTTTTTTCCCCTTGTACAATGCAGAAACCGAGCTGTAGCCGATGGGCTAGGCTCATGAACAACATAGCCCCGGAACAAAGTTGCCCGAACTGAATTTGAAGTCACGCAGAACTACCACATGAAATCTCAAGCTGGTGTGAGGTTGATTTTTACATGAAAAAAAAATAAAATAAAAAATTCTAGTACTATTCTCTTCCCTTGTTTCATCAGCAAAACAAAATTGAGATTATAGAAAAGTTATTGCAAAAACCATTAACATAAAACTATCATCTTGCTTAAAAAAATTATAAAACTAAGAAATCTACGATGTCAGCCCAAAATAATCAACACCAGCAATGTCTGGTCACCAAGTGAGCATCATGCTTACCTTCTCTTACTATGAATAATATATTGATGTTCTGGCTGAGGTGTCCTCTAGTGCACCAAAACAAATCCTGTAATTGCGATCAACTTACTGCCTTCTCTGGTTTTGCTTAGAATGGTTTGGCGATGATGTTTGTACCTCCTGCTGTAACTTCTACAGAAACTCTGAAATCAATTTGCAGACATCCAACCAAAGGAAAAAATTGAATATTTGTCCCTGTCAAAGCTTTGGCATGGCAGTGGCTGCCTTTCGCTTTGCATAGTCATGGGCAATGCTTATCATACTCTTGCTATGACGAAGTGAAAACTCTGCAAGCAAGATCTGCGTTTCTTCTGGGGTCAAATCACCATGAGAGCCCTGCAATGTTAGTATAAGATTATGATTCCTGTCCAACTGAAAAATAAAACTGCCTGTAAACTTTAAAACGAAGGCTCATAATAGGAAACGTAGGGGTAGGTTAACAATTTAAATTGTTAAAAACAAAATCAATGTCAGTTAACTAAATGAACAAAACAAAATCAAGAATGCTAAACAAGAAATGGTCTTTCATTCCCGTGCCACAATGTAAATCAGCATTCATTACCCGGCGAGAAGTTCTGTCACAAACAGCATGGTGCATGAGGATGCCTGCAGCAACTGAAACATTGAAAGAGTCTACCATGCCTTTCATAGGAATACTGCAATGCAAATCTGACAGTTCCAGAGCCTCATCACTTATACCCCTGCAAGCAGCGACTCAACCATCATCACTAAAGTTCTAAAATGTTCTAGATTTCTTTTGGTTATCGAAACCATCAATAGGAAGCCAACTAGTTAGAAAACAGCCTATATCTCATCTTTACTATATATATATTGCATCAATTAATCACATTTTAGAGATAAAATTTAACAAACAAGAGCTTCATAAGGAGTTTCTAAAAGCAAGAATAATGGAGTTTTCTATTATTTTCTTCCTTTAATCTATTGAAACAATTTAGACAATCAGAGTTCAAATTGCAAAAATCTGAGGTCCAAAGAAATTTTTCCAAATGTCAATATTAACCAGCAATATTAAACCAATGAAAAAAGAAATTCCAGCACTAGCTTTAGAGATAAAATGAAAAAAAGAAAAAAGAAAAAAGAAAGCAAATTACCTATTTTCATTTCCAACAACTATTGCAGTTGGGCATGACCAATCCATGTCATAAATAGATACCTAAACACAGCACCAAAACAACGGTCACACATATAACCACAGCACGAACAATTCCACATCAAGTTGCCAAAGACAGTACTTCACAGTTTAAACTATTAGCTATAATCACAATTAAACAACAATGCTAAATCAATTGAACAGTTCTCATTTTACATGACATAAGCATCGAAGAAAGGAACAAGTAGAGATTCATTACCGCATCAATTCCAACATGTGTGGTAGCTATCCGATAACCACGCGATTTTAAGACTTGAAAACACTCTTTTGAAGAATCCCATAATTCAATATCCAACCATTTCTCTGCTCCCATACTCACATGTCTATTCTCTTTATATCTATAACACCACCAATACAAACAGCATTAATAAAACAAAATTGCCTCGTCAACACAAATCCTTTAAATAAAATTAAAATTAAAAAAAACCCCAAATTTTCACCTCAAAAAGAATCGAAGCAGCACCTTTTGGAGCTATTACAAGAAACAACATGAACAGACTGAAACCCCAAAGCATCAGCAGATCGAAAGGCAGCCGAAACGTTTCCGAAATCAGTCAATCCTTCAACAACCAAACAAAGGGAATAACTCCTATTCTTAACCGTGTTTCGAATCCTCTCTCTTCTCTCTTCCATCATATACGGCCCCACCGCCTCCAAAACCTCACTGCTACTCAAATCCACACCTCCACACTTGAACATGTCGAAATAAGGAAACCAATGAGAACCCAAGACATTGTCGTCGTGGGTTTTTGTTCTTCTTCTTTCCATTTTCATTAGTTGTAACACGTCGTTCCGGTTGGTAAGAAGGTGTTCTACAGTATCGTTTTGGGTGGTGGTTGTGTTGATGTCGTCTGGGGGGTCTAATGAGAGTGCTGCTTGGGTTGCTGTTGAAGAGTGAGGTCTAGTATGTTGTCTGTAGGGAGCGAAGGACACAGAGAAGGGGAGGGTCAGGGTTTTGGAGAATGGAGAGAAGGGTTTTACGGGTTTTGGGAGGGAAGCTAGAGAGGTGGTGACCAGGGTTTTGCAGGCTTTCATTTTGGGGTTTCGAGTGGGAAAGAAGTCGGATCCAAGTTTTATCGAGGGAAGAAGAGTGGTGCTTCATGTTTCAACATCAACCACGTCGATTTCACAACCATAGGATAGGGTTACTACAAGACGCTGTAATTATGTTTGCTTTCCAGTTATAAATTAATAAATATTTTTATTTATTGTTCGATAATAATTTATTTTATCATTCAATAACTTGATTAATTATTTTATAATTGTATTAATTAATAATGATATTGTATAATTATAATTTTAAAAAATATATTGTTGTTTTTAAAATGATCAACGTGAAAAATAATAATTATTTATTTTATAATAAGTAAGTGATTATGAACTGCCAAATAAATTAAATAAATAAATCGTAAAAAATTATCTTTAAATTAATTACTTCGTATTTACAATAGTAACAAACAATTAAGTACGATTCAAAAAAAACTATCACCTTAAAGCAGAACAAATTACTATTTGTGTAACGCTTTGATTTAGAAAATTCTTATATATGTCTATGTGTGATTATTTTGACCTAAAATATGTGTGTTATATGTGTATTTTATTAAACATGTGATAATTAAGTTTAATGTATGTATGAAATATGTGTTTTAGATTTGAATGAAATCATGCTTATTTTTTGTTTATTAATTATTTAATTTTACATGATTAAGGGTTTTATGACAAATTTTGCCCCCAAAGTATCAAATTGCGTAATTTGAACCCCACGACATTAGAAATTGAGCAAATTGATCCAAATTATACAATCTCTGTTATTTCTAACAATCAACTACCATTACTTATTATTATTATTTTAAATGGAAACCAAGAGAATTGGAAAGGGGTAAAACGAGATGACATGTCATCTTTCTTACCCTTTTCAATTAATCTCTCAAAAACGAGAAAACGGGAGAAAGATAGAGACATGGAGAGAAAGGAGAAGAAGTATGGTGATTTCAAAATAAAAATCCAATGCCTAATTGATAGAAAGATTGTGAGAGACTTGTTAGGCTCATGAGATAGTCTTTTAAGGATTTGATTTTAGTTAGTTTTTTGGGTAATTGAAGTGAATTAGGGGTAGAGAGTGAGTTAGGTCTTTATCAAGAATCTTCCACAAGTATTTTGTCTTTTTTATTGTCATCTTTTTTGGTTTTATCAATATTTTGTCAAAATCTTAAGTGAAATGCCGAATTCAACCTTTGCTATTTCGTAGTGGATGACGGTTTGTTTGAAAATCCCGACTTGAAGTACATTGGTAGTGTGCGTGAGATTAAATTGGTTGACATTGATTTTTTTTTTTCATTTACGTCCTTGAAACAACTTATTAAAAGTTATGAGTGGATTGATCCTCAAAAGATATATTATAGGGTCTTGAGAAATGATGATATAGTAGAAAGTCGGTTGATATGTGTGTATGATGAAGAGTCTTTATTTTCATATTTAGATGATTTTCTTAAGCAAGGGAATTTTTTATTTTTTATTTTTTTATTTTTTAGTGAAACATAGGAATGAATTGATTGATCTTAAGGATGGCGATGACAATGTGGTCTAGGAACAATATGTGGGGACAAATATGGATGTTGATGGTAGGAATTGTAAGGGCAATTGTGGTATTGGGCTTATTGATGTTGTAATTTCTTATGAACATAAGGGTATTGATACAATTAGTGGGGAAGGAAAATTTAACAATATGGATGGTTGTTGTTGGAACATGGGCAACATTACACTTAGACATGTTTTTGAAAGCATTGAGATAGGGCTTGTGTTAGATGACGTTAGGAGGGAAGATGATGATAATGTTAAGGACAATAGTAAGGGGGTGGGTAATGAAGAGAGAGAAAATAATGAGTCCGGTTCAAAAGATAGTGAGGAAGGTTCGGATGGTTATGATAGTGGAGTTAGATGATGAGGTAGAATTAATTGATGCATCATGGCCTACTTAGTAAAGATGATTAAGAGCTAGCGACTGCTTAGGAGTAACTTTATAGAGTTAAAGCTGTTAGTGTGGGTGCTCTAGATCCAACCTATTTAGATGATTTGAACATTGTATCATTGCATATTTATCAATAAAGAAAATTTTTCATTAATTCATGTTATTTATAACTTGATTAAATTATATAGAAGTCCATATAATGTTCATTGCTTTGATGATTGATCAATAGATGTGAGATAAATACCAATGCACTTAAATGAAATCATTAAATGTCTCAAGTGATAGTATTATTAAAATTGGACATTGACAATATATGGTAAGACTTTTGTTTGCTATGCTCTTACTATAGGATAACATAGGACATCTCACACTTAATGACATGGTGATGCTTAAGCAAGCATATAGGAGAATGATGTTAGAGAACATATCACTAGACATGACTCACAATGAAAGCCCATTTGGTATAGTCTATGAGAATCTCATACAAGATGGGTACAACTAGTCCTTTGACTTAAAGTTATCATGGTTATCTCATTAAAGGATTAGTGTACTTTGATTTTTGTTATGATGGGTTTAATAAAGAGCTATATATGGGCAAATCATTGGGTACATCAATAATTTAAGAGAGATAGATAGATAACTAAGATATGACAAGTCATTCATTATATGCTAAAGAAGTTATCACATTACATTTTCGATGAATGTCCGCTCGAGAATCTGTGGTCATAGTGAAAGTACGCCAAAAGAGCATGAATTGCTTACTTAAGAGCTAAGATATTCGGAGATAGAAGAAAACTTGTGTGATCATAATCGAACGGACACCAAACCAAGTTTGAGATCACATTGTGATAAATTATCGTGAGAACTAAATTGTACCATACTCCTAAAATATTATTACGGATTAAGTAATCATTCTTGATAATTGAGTAATCATGATGTCTTATTAGAATCCAATCTTGACTTATGTATTGAGAGATAAAAGAATAATCTTTTGTTTCTCAATATATTGTCAACATATCTAGAAGCTTATTGAGTTACATGTATAAGCTTGACATTGACTTAGATAAAGAGAAGTAAAGAATTATGAATAAAATGAGAATTGAAATTATTGATTTCAATTCTTTAAACATTGAGAGAATTTTGGAAAAATTATTTCCTAAAATTTAATAGGGCTAATTTAGAATAGTTCCCTAAATCGGCCTCTCTAAAATACCCACCTAGCTTATTTGTATAGTCTATTTAATTGCTAAGTTAGTAAACCCAAGGTGTTAGGGGTAATAAGCTTAAGTGAAAGCCTATAAAGAGTATTTGAAGTGGATAAACACCTTTAAAAACTTTTAGGAAAAGTTTATTAAACCTAAAAAAAGAGTTTTTAAAAGAATAAGATGCATCAAACCACTCACTTAAGAGAGATGAGAGCTAGCCGAATTTTCCTCAAGAGAGAAAAAGTATGGATCTTTCTTTATAGCATAAAGAAAGGGAGCTAGCACTCTTATTTATCGATTCTCGTGTTGGTGTCTAAACTGCATGGATATTCACTATAGATCGAAAACTTAGATGGTTTGATCCACTACCTTGTTATCGTGCTTCAAGAGATAATAATCTAAATGATCTCTTAATATAATTATATGATTCAATAGATATCTTGGAATTTTAGATTGGAGGAAAACAAGTTTTTGTTGTTTATTTCGCTCTTTCATAGGATGTTTATCGTTTAGAAACAATCCAAGAATAAAAAACATATTGCTTATGTGCTTAAAGCACTACCAATTGATACTCCATAATTCAATAGCCAAAGACCTAGAGGTAATGATACTTAAGATGGGGTAATTGGTATAGGTTTCTATGAGTTTGATCCGGATGAAGATGGAAGTCATGAATCCACCGAGTGATGATAATGGTGAAATAGATCAATCTAGAAGGAAAAAGTCCAAAACTATGTATTTCAATGACACCATAAAAAATCCTTAGTTTTCACTTGGCATGGCTTTTAGAAACAAGAAACAAATCATTCAAGCTTCGAAGATCATTATGTGGCTAAAACAAGGGATATTGAATTTGTCAAGCATGACGGACAAAGAGTTAGAGCAAAGTGTAGTGATAAAAAATGTGAATGGGTTTTTTATGTGAGATATAAAACACAAACAGGTACTTTAAACTTAGAACATATATAGATAGGTATACCTATCATGTTGCATTTAAGAATACGAGGATTAAGGCCGGGGTTGTAGCAACGTACTTAATTAAAAAAATTAGGAGTGTTGTTTTGAAAATGGATAAAAAAGATATGAAAACACAAGCTAGAGAGAGATTATATTGTACCATAAGTCTTAACCAAGCTAGAAGAGCAAAGGAAATTATATAAGGGCATTTTCATGGTGATGATAGTGTTGAATACTCAATGTTGTAAGATTACTTAGAAGAGTTGAAGAGGAGTAACAAAGGAAGTACCATTGAATGCTAATTTACTAGGCTTAGTAGTAGAGGTAATCTAATGTTCAAGGCTATATACATTTATTTTGGTACTTAAAAGAGGATTTAAGACAAGATGCGGACCTACTATTGGAATAAATGGATGTTTTTTTTTTTTTTTTAAAAAATGTATAAGGTGAGATTTAACAGCTATGGAAAGAGATAGGAATAATTAAATGTTTCCTTTGGCTTGGGATATTTTTGATTGTGAAAATTAGTACACTTAGAGATAATTTATTGAGCACTTAATAAGAGATCTGGATATAAAGTTTGGAAATGGTAGCTACTCGGACACCGATGATAGACCAACAAAAGCTAAGATTTGTCTACCTATTAAACTTTTTAATTCTATATTTTAATTTATAGTTTGGAGTTTAAAAATGGCAGCCACTAACATTTATTAACTAATATGCTTTTTTTTAATAGGGTCTTGAGAAGGCAATCAAAGAGTTAATGCCATATGCCAAGCACATAAATTAATCAAGGCATATATTTGCTAATTGGAGGAAGAAACATGAGGGTAAGGAGCTACGTGAAATTTTTTGGCATGTGCAAGGGCTACAAATCAACCTAATTGGGAGAAAATACTTAAGGA